ATATATAATAGTATATAAATAAACGAGCGCGTATGCGCGTTTGTAAAACCACATTCTTCAGAAATTATGACCGAAAAAATACATACACGCGCGCACTCGTTTGTAAGTTTTCTTATCATTTCGTATTCTAAACGTGCGCGAGCGCTGCATCGTGAAACATCACCAYCACATTTTCCGAATGTTTCGGTGACGGCGGCGGGGAGCGAAAAAATAAGAAGCGAAGAAAATATATGTTTATATATTGTTCATATATTATATTATTTTTTTCCCCTTGCCTCTAAAAAATTAATTGGACGGACAACCGACCGGGCGGTTATACATTTCGAAAATATACTACACGAATATTTACTTATATTTACTTTCCTACTGTTTTGATTTTTTTTTTTCGTTTTAATTTTATATATAACCTGACTCCCSAGAATTTAACTTATAATCAATAATTACGGCTCGGTTTATTCATATTATAGGTAGGTACGCATAAAATGTTGGCAATGAAATGTATAGTATTGTGTGCGTGTGTTCTTCTTAAACACGATCCATCTTTTTTGCAATTGACAAATTCATTTACAAAATTCTACATAAATTCTACTTGTTTCGTTGTAAAAACGGTAACGAAAAGATTTATCTGTAAAAAAGACGCGAGCGATGGAAAAACAATATTATCCTTTCTTTTGATATAACTATGTCATACAATTGAAAATATTTTATGCTTTAAAATTTAATTATTCGACATTCAAGTCTCAAGTGTATTATATAATTAATGACTATAATATATTATATCCAAGTAAACTATTAATACTGCGAATATATACTTTTTTATTGCGTAAATTTTCATAATTTTATCGATATGCCAATATAATAGTTGGAGTTTTATTATGTTCAAATATCTRTTTAATGGTGGTATTAATACGTAATGCATGATAATWATGTTGTTCAAAGAATATTTTTCTAAATTTGTTATCAAGGACTTTTATATGACGAATAACGACCGTAAATTGTTTAAAATATATACTATTAAGTTAAACATAATTTAAATATATCGAAATTCGATTAATATATTCAAACTGAACAATATATTTTCTAAACAAGTACGAATTATTAATATACTTCGATTTYAGAAGTCTGTGCTTTTGCCATGTATTTAATGTGAATACTAACATAGAATAAAWTGTAATAAYAATCTTAAGCACTTCGACACTATTATATAGGAGTAAATGGTTAAAATAGTGCCAACACTGTATAAATAGATGAAGTAAATAAATATTTTTATCATTTATCTCTGTGAGAGTATTTTGAGTTTATATCCAAATAACACACAACAGAGTGCGGACTGCACAGAATAGAAATATTTTTGGACGATTTCAAAATGATTAGAATTTTTTGAATTTCTCGTGGGGACGCGTCGTGGAAAACTGTTAAGTCGCGAATACCACTTAATTACGAATGATTTATTACACTTCGCGCTAGAGTACTAGAAAACGTAAGAATCCTTTTATTTTTAAACGAAAACGAATTCCGGTATGTTAATCATTACACAATAGAGCGCTTTATCGTGTCGACAAAAAGGAGTGGAAAGACACCGCCGAATAAAATAATAATATATTATACGCGTGTAGTATTATGGATATCAGACATTTATTATTTTATATTAAAAGAACAAGCATACGCACAAAATTAAGTCATAATTCATAATCATCACCACCRTCGCAATATTATGATTACTCGGCTTATTACTCGTGCTGGTAACGGATACAACTTCGTAGTATGTCGTACATATACGAACACGTCTAATTTCGATCGAGTGGGCGTAATTTACTTTGCTGTTTATTTTTCTTCTCATTTTTATAATCGGTGAAAATGTCAACCGTGACATCTGCAGCTACAGCAGCTACCGTACATTATGGGTACACCAAAAATATCGTGTAAATAAAATACAAAAACTATACTACATATACCTACTACTACTAGTTAGAACTTGTATAGGTGTAGGTTACGCTGTGTGTACGCTCCGCTGTCTACAGATGACATTTGAAGAGTCGCGACAAACGTAATATTATATACGAGCGTGATGCATATATATAGGTACTGCATGTATATAATATAATATATATATATATACACATAAACCGTTGTTATACAACAATTTCTCGCGAGAATATACAACGAAATAATAATATCAACATACACACAAACATTACGCGCGTGTGTATTGTATAGTATGTTTTCTAAACGCGGTTATTATTATAACGTGGAAAAAAAAACAAAAATGTTTATGTAAAATGAATGTAAATTTTATTAGGACAGGTGTCCTCATTAGCATGAACCTAGACCCGGAGGGAGTTATTGCGGCGGCGGGTAGTATACTTACGACGGCGTATACACACGCACACACATACACATTCACGTAAATATACATAGGTACATACATACATACATATACATATAAATATTACATGTACACAATATAGGAGTAATTTTTTTTCCTCATCCGACCCCAAACGGCTTCCGTGGCTTCGTATATTATAATATGCGTACATCACCTCTTATCGGCACAGCGGATCTGACCGAATACCATCCCTGGCTGGACGGCAGCCCTTGGGCAATCTCGGCCGGCCGTCGTATTAACGCTCTAATTGTCGGTTATATTATATAGACGCGCACCCGACGCCGCAGTCCCACCACCCCACCCGCCCCTACCCTTCTTCCGAGGCCCCCGGCCGGACGCCTTCTCACGCGCGAGCTCGCGGAACAAATTTCAAGGGGGAAAATAAAAATAATATATGTATACATAAGACGTATACACAATATTATGTTATTTCTTAATAGTCCTACCGCGGACACTATCGAACGGTTCGATCGCGGAGAACATTTTATAATTTTTTTGTTATATATACCTATAATATACAAAAAAAAAAAGCACGCTACAATGGTTTATACGCGTTTATTCGTTTATAATAAAATATAATATCGGTGCAGTATAATATATAAGTACATTACAGCGGGTATAGGGTATTATCCGTTCCTATATATAAGTATACATATATCTTATATTAATATTATATATAGGTACAGATACTGATATACGCGGCGGTCATCGCGTATATTATATTATGTGCTCCGAATTAATGGCCACCCGGGGCCGGATAACATTCTAGGTATACATATATGCATAAAATATATATATATTTTTAAATATCAAAAACGATAGAGATTCTGAACGATTAGAAAACCCACCTGAAATCATATCTACACGATCGACAACCGGCCGATCATCGGTGGACACGTTATATGTATAATACGCGGGTGTAGTATATATATTATAATACACGAATAATAATAGGCATCATACACTATAAAATATAGTTTTTACTACTTGATAATAATAATAATATTACAATATATTATGTCACTACTGGTTATGAACTGGACTTAATAGATCTGGAYGTCAGCGATATTGTCGTCACGGACAGGATTTAGTTAACACATTACTATACGTATACCTAACTTCTGTATATAGTAATAGTGTAATGTATACAACGTTGGGTACAAACAAAACAAAATKTTATACAAAAGAATGCACAATATGGAAGATTAAACCAATCTTCGTAATTTATAGATTTAAGTAGCCATAGATTTATAACGAACGAGAAAATAAAATATTTATTTGGTATTTAATTATTTAGATATTAGGTCAACAATGTAGTATAGGTACTAATTGTAACTTTCATATTATCATACACTACCTAATAATTTTCCAAAATCATATTCAAAAAACGTTGTTTTATAATAAAAAGTCGTGAACGGGTCAGACATACCGCCATAATATAATATATTATAAGTTTTTACTGCCCCGCGGCTCACAACTTAATGCGCTTTAATCAAAACTCCTACAAACAGCAAAATATATTCGTCGGATTTATATAGGAAACGGAAACGGCTCAAGTACGCGATTTGTATTTTAAAGGATTATGATACAACAATCGTAATATCACAGATCAAATTAAGGGAGTATTTACAAACACGATATACGGTTTTTGGAATTATTTTTTATTGATTTATTAAAATATAGGTACACAAGCGTTACGCGTAAACGTATAAATTAGCAGTTCTTTAATATTCCGTTCGGCGTAATACTTTTACGTATGTACGTACTACGTGTACCTATATATACTATTTTATCATCTCTTTACAACGAATATGTTTACAAGTATACTTTTAATCAACAGTTAAACCTACTAAACCGGAACGTTGTCCAGTTCATGTTTCCACTCTGATCGTTTTGTTTTATTATTTATGAAATTGATCAGTTTTTTCCCACTGCATAACATATTAGTGGACGACGGCGGAGAAAAAATAATTGATGAAAACGATATTTTAACACGTCAACAAATATGTCTGAAGAAAAAAAATCTGACCATATAGGTACGTAGTCATTTAGATATGCATATAATTCTGTACATTATGTAAATGCATCCAAGGAAAAAAACGCGTTCTGGTTAATGTTGAATAATTATAGTAAAACTGTTGAGAATATCAATCATTAAAGATAGGTAGATACATTAAAAATTGTCAAAAAAATAAAAAATAAATACCGTCATAGCATTATATCTTACAATAATGCTCAATTCTAAACTGTAAAACGTTTACARGAACACAAAACACAAAGGTTTATTATTGATGTAAAATAGTATAGTGAAGTTCGAACGTAATTTCTTAGTAGCGCATTGATTAAAACATTCCAATGTATTGATATAAACTAATTATATTCCTGATTTACATAATACATAGGTTCAGTAAATAGTTTGGTCACTTACCACGCCATTATATTCTATTATTAATTATTATAATGTATACTAAATTGAACCAATACTCACGCTCTGTTGTAGTAATATCCGGAAAAAGGCCAAGTCAAACAACAGGCGATGAAAAATGCAAAAACAACAATTATTAATACATACGATTTCAAATAATAAATAGGTCGTATAAATGTGTTTACTTACAGTGATAGGGTCCTGAGTTTGAGAATAACAAATTTCAACCGGAAACAAAAGAAAAAGAAAAAAATTGAATTAGTATACAGTTAAATTAAAATAACACTTATGTGATATTTTTACGTATAACATTTGGGTATGAAGCGATATCATACGTATATGTTTATAAATATGATAACATGACAAAAAATATTATTATGAATCAACAAATTGCCATTTAATTAAGGTACCTATATATTCTTAAAAATGTGTGAGCATATATTATCATATACTTCACAATAATATATATAAATKATAATTTTCTACCTAAGAAAAAACATTTAAGAAATAATATAAAAACAAAAAGTTATAATTTTCCCAACTGTTTGATAACAATATTTATTAGYCGTCAAGAGGAATAGCTTTTTTAACGTAAAAAAATGGTTTAAGAATAAATTTAATGCATCAATATTCACCCACACTTAACAGTTGTCATATAATATATATGAATTCACGAAGTCACAAATAGAAGCCATAAATAATAATTAAAGGTCCAAAACATAAGACTTAAATGTTTAAATACCACTAAATAAATTTAAATTCCAATACGTATGACATATTATAAGTACTGTAAATAATGTTCGTCATTTATCTTATTAACATGATCTTTATTTCACGCAATAAAAACGTAACCTATTCCGTTAATTACAGAGTTATTWATAACACAAATACCTATACAATATACATGCATTTAGAAATTTAATGTTGGTTATAATTTATTTACGGTGAATTACGTATAAAAAATTGATTATTATTATAAACTTTTTTCAAAAACAATGTACTTACATTTGAAATAAAATTTACTTGAAGAAAAAATGAATGCATGGGTAAGATGAGGTGTAAAATTCTCAAAATATCAAATGTAAATCATAGAAAGAAAACGAGCGTATTGATGTAATTAATAATCGTAGGTAGGTAGGTTAGGTTAGGTTATATTATATTTTTAAATTGTTTAACTATAATGATAATAATATGTATTATATACATTTACAGTTGTTGATTATAATTACACTTAATAAGTAATTATCCTTTCCCAATTATATAGTTAGATGTTAATAAAACGAATGATTAACATCATTATGAACGCAATTAAATTAATGAAACAATGTATACATTATACATTACCTATATTATATCAAATGTTTACAAGGAATCATAATAAAAAATAATTTTTCTTCTTTAGTACAACTGCAATCAATATATATTATATGTACTACCGCAATAAAGTATACCTATAAACGAATATCAAATGTATATAAAACAATTCATTATTATATTGTTAATCAAGCAATTTCATCAGTTAGAACTTCTATAATTACTAACKAATTTTCTTAAAATGATCAGAAATAACTACAAATTATACAAGTCAAACAAGTTTTGATATACACAAAGATAAAATGGATGTATACGTAATATGCTACTAATGTTCCGGCGTCTATTGAAGTAAAAACCAACAGTCGGATTAATTTTTTTGTTCAATAATACAGTTAATATAACTTTATTCATTAATGCGATTAATATACACTTATAACATTACACAAGTTAATATATTTTTACGCTAATTAACATTTAAATGTAATAACTRAATTTAAAATGAAAGTTTTTTATTGTTTCTATATTCTATTGCCCTAAGGAAATCTACCAAAAATTTGATGGAAAATGATTACATTTAATGCATGAAATCAATTTTGATGAGAATGCACGCATTGTAGTCTCAATGTCTCAAATTGTATCTTTTTTTTTTATTTAGCGTCTAATCATTATAGTCGTTTTATTATTTATGTACTAATTGTAAACTATTTTGGTTTATTTTATTCTATGAAACTTTTAATTGCAGATTTTGGTAATTTTGGGATTTTACGGTCTACTTCATAAATGGAAAACCATATACCATATACACAGTACACATTTACATAAGTTACATTTTTATAGCAGTGCTGGCTGTTACCATTGTCCTAATCCTATATATATATATATTACCTATATATATATATATAAAATTACAGTATTTAGTAATGAAATCGTTAAAAATAATATATTTCTATATTTGGTTTTATCTTATTTAACCAATGTTTTGTGAAATTGAATTTTAGTGATATTTAAAATGATCAATAATTTGTTTTTAAATTTTAAATTGCATTATTTCTACAGTAGTTTCATTAACTAATTATAAATAAACAACAAATGCACATTAGGTTCTTGGTAAACTATTTACCTTGAGTATAATTATGTTTTCTCATTATACCCATTAACAAGTACTAATCAGTTCACCCAAAAACATTTTAAAATACAAATAGGAGTAAATAACATTTTAATTACCACGTTGAATAAAAATATGCCTAAATACAATATGATATACATATACCAGAAACGGAATGGCAAGGTAACAAATACAACTATGAAAAGTATAATATTAGGTATGGTTATTTTCCACATATTCGTAAACAATTAGGTAACATTTTAATATAATAACTACACGAGTATTGTTAATCTATTGAATACGACAGATTTGGGGTTTTCAAAGACCGACTTGAATAGGTGTGTCATAATAATATGATATGCATTAACGTGTTAAATACTTGAAACTTCCCGTATAATCTTCACCTTAAATAACGTCATCACTGCGTGGTTCATTGTGGTTCATCGCACGCTATCGAATTAATACCTACGAGGCTACGAAGTATGGGTAGTGGGTACCTATACCTATAATTTCGACGCAAACAGTCATTAAAAAGTTTCGCGCAAGCCGTATATAGGATTTCACGTCTGTTATTATTATTGCTTTAACCTAGGTACCTATATTATGGACTGTATAATACAACGAACCGACATCATACTCTCATTGCATCGTCGACGACGATGATCGCATCAACGTGTCAATTTATACGATTTTCTCACGGTTCGTCGGATAAAATCCAACGGTATCACAGTAGTACCTACAATATAATAAAATAATATACATCAGGTGGATGTAAACACGGGGATAAGCACGCAGTCATTATCGGACTCCGTTGGACGAGCGCGCGCGCGTGCGCACGAGCAAAAGAAGGCTACCGCCTCGGCGTCGTAATGATGGCCATTGGCGCGCGCGCGATCTCCCGAGTGGGACTTGATAAAGACGCTCGGCGGCAGGACTTGGATCACCAATAGCACCGGCAGCAGTGATTAATAGGAAGCAACCCAAATCATTGTAATTTTCGTCGGTAGGTATATATTATTATGTGTACAACAGTATATAAGTATAATAATGTACACATCGACTGACACTATGTGCGCGAGGCTACCGCGGAGGAACAACATATACGAAGAAAATATGAAAATACAAATCGTCTGCGCTCAATTACATAGTACGCTATGTATATATATAAGCTATATCACGGGTGCCCATTATCTAGTCACCGTCCTAAGTGGATATTAATAACACCTCTCGTAAACGCATCAGTGGCGGGTGCTCTCCGCGCATTTCCAGCGTTTCTCGACTGTCTATATTATACACACGATCACAGCATTATTATTAACATCATCATTGTTATTGTTTTATTGTACAATTACAATTATTATCACTATCATATTGTTATTGCACCTAGCAAGAACACGTGTACGCATAGAGATTATATACGCGTAGCATCCGTATACGTCCACCTTCATTGTCAGCATCGTATCGTAACGAAACAGACRGATACAGCAGTCTTTGCTGTGATTTCTATAAACGCGCACACTATATTGTTATGTGCGGTATGCCTTGATAAATTTTGTGCTCCTACGTATACTTGCATCACATAACTGAGTTAAGACTTAAAACTCCACCAACGCAATTAGGTCAACGCCACTGACACAACCGAGTCTACACTAAAATGTACAATGTCTTATTCCCACTCGAATACGAGCAAATAAACATGCTAATAAGCTGCAGACTACGAATTTTATTATTTTCGAAGTCTCTTAGAAATTGAAAAGAAATTTTTTCATAACCAATTCAAGTTGTTTCTTAGATATTATAAATGGAAAATATATTATATGTTTAAAAACAAATTTAAGTAAATTTTTGTCTTCAACACTCTCAAAAGACATAAATTCACAAGAATAACGAGACTCAAGAAACAATTCTACAATATTATAGTTAGTTCAAAACCAATGGTATAAAAAAAAATTATAAATATTTACCTATTAAACCAYTCGGAAYTTAAGTAAWTCATCATTCATCAAAGAAAATTAACTTATTTTTAATATGATACATACGTACATACCATTATTATAAGTATTATTATTTTATTTTWTTTTGATAAAGGAGAAAATATGTAAGCTGACCTTTTTGTATCTTTAACGATGAATATTACTTGAACGCTATATCTTCGAGTATGATAATGTTTAGTTAATAAAACTATATTTTATATTTCTGAGAACAAATACCTGCYAGCTATAAATAAAAATACATATATACACAGATATATATTGTGTATGTCATTACTCATTAATGACTTGCTGAAGTTTGAGATGAAATGAACCAACAGGGTAATCAAGTTTTTTTTTAAATTATATAATATAATGGTGGTTTAAAAATTGTTGACACATTACTATGAAATATACATCGTTATTTTTTTTAACTTACTTAATCTAACGAATAATTAAGTCACTTTTTAGAAACAACAAAAATAGTTTCACGCTGCATAAAAAAGTATTTTGAAATTTCTATTATAATTCTACGTATAATTAAACATAAAAATATTGATACGTTAGATGAACAAAATAGAAAAAAATCGTTTGAGATTGATTGTACTAATATATATTTTATAGATAGTAATGCAGCGATAATTTCGTTTTGTAATTTCATACACTATTTTAATTGTATGTATATATATATTAGTTTTTAATTTAAAATCATATATAACCATATAAAATAACCATCATATTAAATGTTAATATAACTATTTATTTAGAAACCATTTAAGATTTTTTTTTTGTTTATTTTCTTATTGAGGTAA